CGTATCCAGTGAATGGTTTCTAGCGTACAGAAGAGCAAAGTAAAGCAGAAAAGAATAGTCACAGGCTTATAAACTGAGATATTCAGTACTCATGGATTTCCGAAAGCCATCTGACAAACATGTAGTGTAATGGATTAAGACTGTGAAGATGCCACAGGTATTCGGAGTTTGACAACGCTTTAATCAGTAAAACCTAATATGAAGCGTACCCGCCAAGTGAAATCAAAAGGCTATCAATATATCGCGGATCGTCTGATTTAATCTGGCTAGAGATTGCAAGGGTTGTAGGGCGCGGTGTTCCTACTCGTGATCTGGTGCGGATGCATGACTGAGCGCCTTCAGATAGGTGAGTCCATTAAAACTAATGTGGTCAACATCCAATGTTGAAAACTTACAGAGCCATTTATTTTGGGGATTTATTTACCGCTAAAACTGACAAACTAAAGAAATCATCTTGCAGTTTAGAAGAATAAAAAATGCGAAAATATGAAAAATCTACTTCTTTTATGGACATAGTTCCTCTAAAACTACAACAGAGCAGAAAATGTGGATACTGGTAGCAGCTAACAAGGAGGTGTGCCGAAGCTCTCTCTGCTTTTCAGTTCGTTCAAAGTCGACTGAGTGTACTGATTTCTGGGCCTCTTTTGATATCGCTCAATAAATGCATCCGCCCACAGTTCGAAACTATGGGCATAGTTGTACCTCCTTTCAAAAAAACGGGTGTGAATCTCCTGGAAGAGATAAAGTGGCGTTTGACAGAATGTTTCATGGGTTTGAAGGAAAAACCTACAAACCTGAGATTGTTCACACTTTCTACGTGATAATAAGTGTCACGTACAATTTTCGCTCTTGTCCGTTGTTGAATCACGGTCGATTGACCCATTTGTAACTCACGACCTCCAAATAACAACAGGACTAAATTTCAATTCAGGCACCAAAGTTTATTCGCAAATTGTAAGAAATCAACCCAACAATATCGTTCTAATATTAATTACAACAACTAAAAAGCTAAACCTCAGTGTTTAGGTTACTGGAGCAAAAAATTTAGATGCCAATCCAAAATCAAAATGAGGCCAAACTATATGAGGTCGGCGATATAAAGAAACAAATTCAAAAGTTCAGTAAACAACTGCATTCAATATAGCGAAATTATTACTATTCAGTATGACATTTCGTAATCGGTCAAATATTTTCAGTTCTTCTGTGACAATGAATGAAGGGCTAATAATGGTGGATAACATACTGCCCAATACAGTTCACTCTGATTAAAGCTCTTTAGCCAAATCTTATCACTGCACTTCTGTAATATGCTATTTGGAAAGCTGTTGTGTTTGTTGATAACTGATAATATGGTCCAACGTTTGTGAAACCATTGATTTTCTTGATCTTATAAATTTAAGGATAATTTGCAGAATCGTATTTTTAGGCTCAATATTCATTGTTTACATATCAACCGACATATACGCTTTTCACCTATTACCATGCTTCCATTTTATCCATTATTTATCCACTGTTATTATTAATATCGTTAATACTATTATTGGTAAGGCCCTATGTCAGTTTATGCCTAAGCGGTACCATTCATCTACTATTAATATAGTTATTTGTCTGTTTATTCTCCTGTCTGTTCACTCATTTAAAAAGTTCACTCTTTTATCTGTTTTGGTCTCCTATCTTTCTTCCATTCCTTTCTGTTTAAATTCTAATTTCTTTCATGTCAAGTCCAAACAGTTGGACGTGAGGTAACGAGATTGCTATCAGTTGTAGCAACCACACTACACCAGATTAATTTCGTTTATTTATACCCGGAAAAAAATACACCACCACTGTCAAATTCACAAGAATTACTGCAAGTGAATAGATTATCCACACTGGACAATACCAAAGACCAGGAACCATACGGTAACATAAAATTGAATTGATGTACACTAGTTTATCAAGAAAATACGAGATGTCTGTAGACAAGCAAAAGTATGAAACCATTTACTCTCAACGTTCATTTGTCAAATATTCATGCACGTGGAAAGGAACTTGATCAAACATTACTTTCAGCACATGCTGAAGTGAACAGCATTTACCATATACACTGATCATAAGTTGTAGCGTGGTGTCGATTCGAGATCGACTATGAACACCGCTACCAAGAAACACGTGCCAAGTAAATCATAAGGCGAAGGTCGAACGTAACCAGGTTTATTTCGTTGGCGATCTCGTGGTATCGAACGAATAACAAGATCGTGCCAAGGAATGGTACAAGTGGAAGCAGGAGAAAGGAGTACATGCGAACAGTACCAAAAACCGCGAAACAATAATAGAAGGTAGTGGAAGCACAAAATAGATGTCATTAGCACAGTCAAACAAAAGCACGTTAAAACAAACACTGGTACAGTTGGTTATAATAATAATTGTTTTTATTAAACCAGTCGTGTTCTCGTGATAGAAGTGAGTCACTACAGATTTTCTTGTATCAGTTGATATGGGTTACTCGAAAATAGAAAAATAACATCAAAGTGATAGGGAGATTGATGAAATGTTTTGGAGGAGATCATAAATGTTTTCAACGTCTCCTATCAAAGTACGTTTTTGGCCAAGAACACTACCTTCGACAACAGTCAATAAACAGTTGTTGTAAGTCATAATTTCGATCTCACACTTTTTTCCTAAACACATTCATAATATCTGTTGTAAGTCAGACAAAGTTCACGTCCACGCAGTCAGACCATCACCTTTAGCAAGTAACTTTACTCAACGTTTAAAATTATTTGGTCAATACACAAAATGGGCAAGATCTATCTCACTGGAAGACGTTGAAGCTTAAAAGACAGATAAAGTATTTTTAGACATTGGATATGGTGATATAAATCCCTGCTACAACGACAATAGGCAAGGGTCCATTGTCTCGGAGCTTTTTGTTTTGGTAGACAACATAATTCCTCAAATTCAATCTAGTACTGAATATTGTTCAAAATCTTGTTTCAGGGAGATGGTATGTGGATTTAACTCTGATTCCAGAGACTGCATTTTATTATCAATATTAAGGCATGTAAAGATAATAACAGTCATGTTTGTAATACAAAACACCCGGATAAGTAACTGGTAACTGTGGTACTATGGCAATTAGAAGTATTCGAATTAGTATGCTAAATAAAAATTCCCGAAATAGTGCAATCTGAGGCAGGTAGAACTATATGAACACAAATGGATATTTTAAATTCGTAATCTACGGGCAATCAAGTTAAAGGAAATCACTAATTCGTACAAATACCACAGGTAATTATTCAGATTGTTGACATCTCCAAGTTTGTCAAGTGATTACTTTCATCTGATTAGATCTAGGTTGATACACATGAAAGACTGCGTCAAGTAAATCAATATATGAAGGATTCGAGACCAACTGAGCTGGAGAGGCAGTAACAGAGTTTCAAAGCGAGTAAGCTTATCCAATGGTAATATTGAACTCGTTGTTTGAGATGAAGTTCCTGGTTTTACTCAAAACACACAAATGGGCCGTCACCTGTTGGATGCACGTGAATGTCCGTGTGAGGATAACCATCCTTTTCCAGTATTCGATAAAAGTTCAATGTCTGACATCAAGAATTCTTCCGTTCATTTAATGTGCTAGTCCAGTACACAAATATGTAGTTTTTACTGAGGTCCTCATTTTAACCAGCCAAACTGTCTCCCTAGGTCTTCTGTGAACACGTCACTGTGCAGTATCGAACTTGCCAGATGAAAAGAGAAAATGAGGTTAAAGTTAGAGCTTGAAATAAGATTCCTGATAAAAATTGTGCTCTTATATGCAATATTCACTCGTTTAGTGAACAAAAAACTGCTTGGTACTTCACAGATGTTGTACATTGAGAATCGAATGTGATGCTAGCTCACGAGTATGTATCCTATCACGATTGTCCTGTAGCAGAACTACGAATAGAGAGTGCAGTTGTGTACAAAGTACATATTCATTCGAGAAAATACTGCACAAGTGCACTCGTGTATTTGTTCAAAAGTAACAGTATGAGAATGTAATTGGAATCACCTAGTGACAGTTCCCAACTAGACTATTTTCACTTGAAGAATTCTTGACAGTTTTCACTTAATAATGAGACAACTAGATCTGATAGAAGGATTTATTGGCTTAAAATACTCAAACAGATGCTTTCTTCTATTTACAAAATTAAGCTGTACACAATTCACTCATTTTTCAATTAGAAAACTAAAATAAATTAATATATTGTGTTTAAAATTAACGATAAGTTTTCATTCATCTTCATACAATCATTATGGACTTTAAGTCATTTATATTCTAATATTTGCTCACTAGTAATTGTGTGCTTTATTTGACATTTCTGTCGCTTACACTTATTTGTACTTGATAGTCTTACTTATTACTTTAATTGAACTTGATAGCAAGTATATTACTAACAAATATATTACTAACATGTGTAAGAAAACTGTATTCTTCTTAATAATGTATATAGTTATCTCATTTTTTTATACACAGCTGGATGTACCTGCATCTCAGAGTTGATGCTCACTCTGAGACTCGAACCCAGTACCATTGGCTTCAAACACCATCGCGTTACCCACTTAGCTGCTGAGTCCTGATAGCAACTTGCTTGTGCAATGGGGTGAATTTAAATTCACTTGGTATCGTTTTGCTTGCAGGTATATCCAACTGATGATTCCCAAATAGGACGAAACGTACGTCCTGGATTCCATTGCTAGCCCCCATTCTCACTTATGTTTTTCAATGTTTCTTATTATCAATAAGCTCTTCATATTTTTGAGAACATAAGAAAACTCAGAAAAGATCATTTTAATATTCATTGAATTGAATGTGGAACACATTTTACATAAACATTTTGCTTTTATTCAATTCAAAATAGAATGATAGCAATGTTATTTATTAGTGTTAATTATACCTCTCCTAGAGATATCATTTTCAATATTGTCATTGATAGTTTGTAAGAATTATAAGTTCCCATGCAAAGCTTTTATTATTATACTTTATAAGTATATTTCCATATTGGTCGTTCATTTAAATGTGAATTGACTTTATCTAATTTTCCATTAGATCTAATATGTACATATGATTTATGTAATTTATTTACAGGAATTCTATTTAAATTTGTAAATATAATCGAATTTTCATGTGAAGCATATTCCACTGAGTACTGCCGGTGCTTTTGTTGCTGTCGTTGTTGTTCTTGTTGTTGATTTGTTAGCTGATAATAATTTCGTTTTTGTCCTGGTCTAGTTGATCGTTTGATTTGTTGACTCTGTTGTTGATGTTGTTCTTGATAAGAATTTTGATCTAATATCGATGGAGATTTTTGAAGTGTAGTTTCAATGAGTTCTATTTCTTGATTAACAGCACCTAATTCATGTCTAGTTAATTGTTTGCTGTAAAATGTTTCATCTGATTCTAATAATTTTTCAAAGTATCCTTCATAATTTTTTATGTTAAACTATGAATGGTAAGTGAAAAATAGTAAATATTATGTTAGAGGGGGGAAGTATTTATATGCGCTGAGTGTTTTGAAGAGTTAATTTATTGTAAATAATCTGTTTTTAATTCATTTCCATTAGGTAAATAAAGAAGGAACGAATCGAGCGGTGAAATTTCTTTCCAATTAGTTTCTCATTATGGCCTTACACTAATATATATATATATATATATATATATATATATATATATATATATATGATTTACAATAATGAAGTGCTACTCATCGAAAAGGATATGTTATGTAATTATTACATAATGGCATTTCGATTATAAATTAACATTAAGTAGTTGGAAGAAAGAGGATTAATAATAATCAGAGTAATTATTCGAAAATCAAGAAGTTGCTACGTTCCATTCCCATTTATAGAAATAATCTTTAAGAATAAAAATCAGATCTAAAGCCAACTGTATAATTATTTAGTGATAATAAATAACAGATTTGAGATTTCAACACTAAATAAACCCACTTTACTAAACATATTTCGCGTGTCTTGGCTATCTGTTGGCAGACAACAGTGAACGAGAACAACAGTTGGTACAATCGATATCTTAGTGAAATCTGAGAAACATACAATAAATACTTCATTTGCAAAATGTTCATTAATTGTCTCAGACTTCATTGTTCCTGCATTTTCATACCAATTGCCTTCTGTTCCCGTTCTTTCCTCATTGATATTCTCGATGTTTTTGCTGCCAAACATTCTATTCCTGACTAGCGTTATATACTACTTATGTCGATCTAAGTAGCACACATCACAAAAGTAGTGCACAATTGGAAACATTTATATTCAGTTATCATAAAATATCGAAAATGCCAAAAACTGTGATAAACGAAATTATTTGTAGTTAGACAAGTACATTCTACACTAGATTTTTGAAAGCTGAACTCAGAAGATAGGTTTTAAAAAATAACTAACATTAACTGGTGAATCAATAGAAATCAAGGAAGTACTGAACAACGGTTTATTTCTAGTTAATAAGTAGAATGAAGTTATGAGCTTTTGTGATACTGGGAGTAAGATTTCTGCGTTAAACGGAGTCATTTTTAAATATTGCCTGACTTTCATTTGATAACATCAGTAATGTATATCTCAATTTCAACAGTTAAAAATGACTAATCATGGCTTCTAATGATAACAACTAATTTTATATAGGTAAAATAGGCAGATAACTTTTAGGGAAAATAATTTTGTATCATTTTCGGTAATGGAGTTTGTAAAGATTGTTTAAATTCATAAATGATATTAGTCATAGCTTGAAGCTGAAAACTGATCATTAACCTGGTATTTTTTAGTGATTAAGTCCATACTGTAAGATATAGAAGTACTGAGTGTGATCTCTAGCTGAATTGTTGGTGTGAACTGTCGAAGAGCCCCATACTGAGACGAAACCACTATCTAATGCTACCTGGTTTTCACTCTTATCTTAACTGAAACCAGCACATGAAATTTATAAAAAGAAATCAAAATTACCATTTTGAACTGCATTAAGAAAAGTAAGACAAAGTTATCTAGTACACAGTACTAAAGTAATGTAAACACTATGAAGAAAGTCATAGATCAGGACAGTGATCAGAAAGATGAGCTACAAGTGAACAAAAATGATTTTAAGTCACTGTTGTATGGAAAAATGAAAACATTTCAACACGATTAAGTATTAAACTAAGTATTCATTGTATTATATTATTTCTTCCATCACGCACACAATATTCAATTCAGCAACTGTTGGTTTTTAGAAACTCTTTAAAAATGAACTGAAAGTGAAATTTAATTAGTTTATGCTTTAGATTAAGTGAACATATTGTCGTAGAAATAACCAGAATGCACATATACCAATAAGAGACTGATCAATAACAGTTCTAAAAATTGATGGGAAGATTCACAAAAAACAATCCAAAATGAATTTACACTTCACCCCATTTCATAAGCTTGTGACTATCAGGACTCAGTAGTTAAGTAAATAACGCAATGGTGTTTGAAGCGAACAGTACTGAGTTCGAATCTTAGAGCACACATCAAATCCGGAATACAATTACATCCAGCTGACGAATCCCAAATAGGACGAAACGCGGGTTCTGGATTCTACTGCAACCCACTATCCATTTTTGCTTAGAATGAATAAAGGTTAAAAACTGTAAATAAATCAGATTATTAGTAAACAACTTTATGAAATGAATATATATCATAGTGTTAAAACCCAACTTAAACCTACATTATGTACGAGAAAAAATCTTTTTAATCGAGATATTCCAGTTTTCGTTATTTCTATAAATTTCACTATTCCATTCTTTGTAGTGTTTATAATTGTATTCACTAGTGTTTTTAATTCTTTCCATAATTCTTCCATTTGAATATTTGCCAACATCACGATCATTTGAGGAATCTTAAAAATAAAAAGTTGAATACTACTTATACATTCGTGTTAAAATTAGCTAAAGAAAAAATTTTGAATGTATTTTAATGGTTCAATCTATACTTTATATGGATGAAATTGAATGAATATCTATAATAAGTTACTTAAATAATCATTAAGGTAATAACATCTCTGTAAGTGGTTATGAATGTTTGATCTATTTCGAATGAATATTACCAATCAAAAATCTGACTTTAACAAGGATTTAAATAAAGTCGAAACAACAAATGCTGTAGAATAATATGAATTCATTATATGTTTGCGATTTCTTATCAGCTGTATATAACAAGGATAGTGTATGTTATATGTCTTGTGGCAACTGGTAGAAAGGTTTAAATCTTCAAGTTGTTAAAGGGAGTAGTTGTTAACATTTAAACCTTAATAGTAACATTATTGATTGGAAGACTAGGTGATTAGGGGTCGTCAGTTCAACCAAAATTACAATATACCATGCAAACAAATGTAATCTAAATACAGAAAATTTTACTTGATTGTATTTAACCACCTAATTTCAAAGTGTATCTCGATGTAACTTCATGTAGTGAGCGAATCGGAACTTAATCTACGGACTGCAACTGGAACCAAGAAATAGAAAATACAATATTGATTATTATTCAGTGAATATTTGGTACATTACGATGCATATAATTTGATTAATATCTAGGATTGAAAGTCTACTGGTTTGCATATCGAAGGTTTACAGTGTTCAAAGTTGAATGTTTTAAATCTCGAATGTTTATCAATCATGTTCATAACATTTAAGCCCATCATTTTAAATGTAGTAGAAAGTTCAACAACAAAATAACATAATATTTAAAACTTAAACAGATTAGGGCTTAGATCTTCAGATTTTAGTTGGTATGTATTTGAATATTTAGGAATGTTCATTTCAACTGACTGTCATTACAAAATTGATTATCAGGTAGCATTTAATTGTTCTATGTTATCAAATATGAACATGCAATTGTATAAATTAAAATGGCATCTAATATTCGTTTTGCATAATTGATTCTGTGTATTATCTACTTTTTCATTTCCTCTGTATCTGATTGTTAACTAATAACCAAGCATCAATAAAGTCGATACATAAATGAGTGTAATTGGTTAAAATAGTTGACATATTTCATGAACTATTGATTTTATCTTTTTCTTTGAGTTTTACATATTAGGAGAGTGTTTCCTGTTTCAAAAATTACCTCTTATAGATATAACAGTTATCAAGATTACTGAATGAAATAACTATAAGCAACATTATTCAGGAAAAGAAAGTTTATACCTAATGCTGTGAAATCATTCACTAGTATATACTAATGTTATAACGTGAAAATAATGCTGATTAAGGGATAGCGGATTATTGATCGGACCAAAGACGCACAAACACGTAGAACGACCTAGGGTTCTGATTGGTCTCGCTTCCCTGTTTAGCCCAGTCAATTGAGTCCAGAACGCAAGTCACAGCCTCGGATATATGAATCATTATATTTCAAGCATACTTTGTTTATATACCAGTCAAGCAGTCCACAACGTACCATAAAATAGAAGATAACATTGTACAATAATGGCCAGTAGAAAAATAACACGTTAAATAAATATTGACCAATAAGATGATATTATTTCATGTCCAAGGATATCATTAGGCTTAGCAGGATAATTTCTGTGATATTTCCCTGAATATCCCAACACCTCCCTTTTTTGGAGATCCGGAGTTGATGTCCGGATTTTAAATTTTTTCTCGCGTCTATCCTCCCCCTCGAAATAATGTTGGGTCTTCATAAATCCAAATTACAATTAATTTGATTGTATTTAAAACATATTGCACAGGGAATGCAGTAAAATCGATCAGATATTGAGGATAAACGCCATCCAATTCGAAATCATCCGAGTTCAAATCTTCTGAGATATTGTTGTCAAATTTATAAGGAGCATCATTAGTAGATAATGGATGATTATGGTAATCCGCGTCCAACAAAACTGTGCCAGGTTCTTGATTATTATTTGATGCGTGAAACACATTTTCTGGCAAAACAATGAGATCTTCTCGTGAGCTGGATATGTTACTGTCTGCACATGCTGTTTCGGGGTTGACGGAGTTTGACTCCATTACCGGGCATCTTTCTGAAATAGAAAGTACTGGACCACTGGGCGCATGATGGATGACTGTTTCGTTTGAAGTACAGTTCATCGAGGATTCATGGAGGCTGCTGTCATTTTCCAGCTCACTGTGTATTTCAGATATCAATCCATCCACTTCCGTCGCGTCTTCATAGCATGAGTGATTTAGCAGCTGCGTGCGGAATTTGACTAATAACTCCAAATGTCGTTCATAGAGCAGCTGTAATCGATCGGAAGGAAGAGTCATTTTTTTCGAATCAGCACCTGTGATGAAAATTACTGTATGACTAATGACCAATGTCGTTGAAGGACACTGACGACAATCTGGATGCTGATTGGTTGGATAATTAGACTGGATTTCGTCCAATTACAGAATGACTTTGGATTGTATTTTTTCTTCACCCCGTCGCCAATTGTTATAACGTGAAAATAATGCTGATTAAGGGATAGCGGATTATTGATCGGACCAAAGACGCACAAACACGTAGAACGACCTAGGGTTCTGATTGGTCTCGCTTCCCTGTTTAGCCCAGTCAATTGAGTCCAGAACGCAAGTCACAGCCTCGGATATATGAATCATTATATTTCAAGCATACTTTGTTTATATACCAGTCAAGCAGTCCACAACGTACCATAAAATAGAAGATAACATTGTACAATAATGGCCAGTAGAAAAATAACACGTTAAATAAATATTGACCAATAAGATGATATTATTTCATGTCCAAGGATATCATTAGGCTTAGCAGGATAATTTCTGTGATATTTCCCTGAATATCCCAACAACTAAAGAACTCTGAAACATTGTGAAAGTAAAGGTGGGTTTTCTAATTTTTAGATAATTAATGAACTGAACCTCTTCAATTGTCCTTATTAGTCTCATTTCCGTTGTTGTTACCATAACCACTATGATTATTATTATTATTATTATTATTATTATTATTATCACAATTGTAAACATGATATATCATAGTTTCAAAAATATTCACTTCGTAAGGGATTATTACACTAGTTGTAATGTAATAACTTACCATTGTGTGTATAATTATTAGCAGGCATAACATTTGTAATTTCATCCATTTCGATGTAAGAAAGTATAAAATTGGTTCAACACATCCTTTATTATGAAATAATTCATTACCACTAACTAAACTAATATTATTACGATTAGTAAGTAGTATATTGTTTCCGCCTAAACTATATTTGATTCTTTTATAACAACTAAATGGTACACTAGTATTCGTTATTATTTCAACGGAATAATTTGCTTCATGGGAATCATTTACATTTCTGATAAAGAAAAATTTAAAAAAAGCACATTGAATTTCTTTTGACTTTAAAAAATCAAATGATTAATAAAACAATAGTGAAAGTAGTTCAACGTGTCAGAAAGTGTTTTGTGGAGATTTTAGTAATTTCAATAGTTCAGATCATGAGTCAAATGAAGCTAGACCACCATGGAAAGCCTGAAAAGAATGAATAGCAACTGGAAACAATTGTAAAGGATTGTCCAATACAAAGTTTGATGGAGAATGCTGGTTGAAGACCTATGCTCCTCCACGAGGAGTAACAGGCGTAAGTAAGTAAGCGAGTACCTATGAACAATAATCCTTGGATATCATTTGTACCATCAAATATCAATTAAACATATTCAACTTAATTTATTTGTAATGCGAAATATGATCCGACATTTCACAATACAAACACAATCTAGGGGAAATATTTTTATACTCACATTACTCATACTATTGGGTATCCGTGCAAATCTAACGAAAGTACATGATTAGAGTTTTAATATTTCACTTGGTAACTTTTGAAAAAAATGTATGAAAAGTAATTTGTTTTAATTTTAGTAACTGCCCCATAAACTGTTTGATAGTAATTGAAAAATGTTTGAAGTGAAGAAACAATATCATGTGTAAGTGTAGTATAGGGATGATCGAATGGAAATAGAGTATATAACTCTTAGGCTTTTCCGTGAAATTTAAACATGTTAAATAAACAGTAAAAATACTTTTGCATATTGTTAAAACATTTAATATAACAGGGAAAAATGGTTTTTTCCAACAATAGAGTGGAAATGATAGTACTAAACGTATCAAACTTATATCCGTATAAGGTTGTGGAGATTGTTGAGTTTTCATTGAGATCGTGTACTCACTAGTGAATAACTTCGAAGAGTATTTCTCGGAGTTCCAGTGAGTAGTCGTGAACAGTGGATTTCAACAGTGTTGAGTGTGAGGTAGTTACCTACCGAAGACAATGGAAGATTGATTGAAATCAGACATTAACACCGTTGGATGACGGTCCAGTGGTCTAGAGGTTGAGAGTTCGCGCAAGATCGAAGTTCCTGGGTTCGAATCCCACGTATGACGTTGTGGATACACACTCTTGAGTAGTCTCATACTAGGACGAAGCGCCTGTCCAGTGTTGCCAAGTTTCCAATGCTGATGTAAAATTATTCGGTTCGTAATCTTAATAAAAACTCAACTATATATAATAGCTAGATTGACACTATCTCTAAGTTTTAATAAAAAATCACTTAATTCTGAAACAAGCCTTAGCCTATTAGGGTTTTATTTTATGAATGGAATATTCAGATAGCTCCTCTAATATTTTTGTGCAAAAGTCATTCATTCATATGGCCATTTTTACATTATAACTAAACTCATTTATGGATGATTACCCCTGACCATAAACTATCAATCTTAACCCTAAATACCTAACTCTAACCAAGGACAAGGTAGAGACTCCATAAAATATGTTTGAACCGTTTTAAGAATTCTCGAAGAAAGAATATTTACGTCCATTAGAATAAGTTTATATTTCATAGGTGTTTCGATTTACAACCAGAATAATCTGTTAAGGTAGTATAAAATCTGCTTCTACTTTTCAAGTTTATTGCTTTTTCTGTAAACTATCCATTAATAAAAGCTATTTTCCGGTGGGCTAGAAATGAGCTGAAAATTTGTTATTGTTTTTTTAAGGCTTGTCCCTATTACTTTACTTTTACTCATAATTAAACACAATTAAAAGCCTTAAACATATTGAGTATATGTATATTTAAGAAAGAGTGAATGACTGACATTTGAAATATTAATATCTTACATAAAACTAAAGACTAAATCTAACTAGTTAGTAAATGGAACACAGTATGTAGGTTTAGTTTACCATACTTCATGACAATTCAGAAAAAGAAAGTTTTAGTAATTTATTAATATAATACAAAACATGACACTGGCTCTTTGACAAACAGTGTCGAATGTCAATTATCTTGGTGTTACTTTTTCCTTTGATCTCTCTTGGTTTTCTCACGTTTTACTGTTATCAAAGAAAGTTTTCCGTCTGACTTACTACATAACGAGATTGTGTGCTCTTGGGATTACTCGTCATTTACTCTTACAATTTGTCAATTCTTGTATATTACCTATTATTCTTTACTGTTTTCCATTATACTTTCTCGGGTTTTTGAGAAAAGACTTTGCTGTATCGCGGAGAGTGCTGGAGGCAGTTAACAAGGTGCGTTGTGAGTCTTTTGAGGTCATAATTAATATGGTTGTGGATAGACATCTAAAGCCATGCAAACTCCTGGCAGGTGTCATCTTATCCGATACTAACCATCCCCTTCACTCATATCTTTCTCCTTGTATATCTGTTGGTAGAATGAGACGTAATTACATTAAATCCCATGCATGCAAGCAAAAGTATAATAATACCTTACCTAGCAAATAAACTCGGTGACGAACAAGGTGTTAAAGTTAACCCGGTCAATAACCTGCACCCATAACATGTCTGTAATTTGGAAAGTTGTGTAGTTTTTCAGATTTCTTTTACCTTTTCCCTTTCTTCTTTTTGCTTTTTCTTCGTAAAAGCAACTTGTTGAAATACCTTGTGCTGAGAATTCTATATTGAATAAAGTCATTAATTATAGTAATAATAATAATAATAATATAAATTTTCCATGTCACTGTGATCGAATGTAACGTAGGTTACCAATTATCGTTAAGGTTTTTTTTTTGTTATTTTAAAGATACTAACCAAAAAGTTCCATCTCTCATTCGATTGATCTGACTTATGTGCTTAAAGTAAAATGATTAGTTGATAGTTACCTAATTAAAAAGTTTATAAACTTATCAATCTTACCTCATCAAATTTTGATAAGTATGCAAATATGGTCTTTTCATATGATTAGATATCCAATCCATATACCCTTTATCAATTCCACAACATTCAAACATATTTTGAATAATATCAATGATCAAAAATGAATTTTCACCATCATCTAGTAGATGATGCGTTTTTAGTGATGATATTTGTGAGATTTCATTAGATGATTCATTTAAATTTAATAAATAGAAACTATGTAATTGATAAAGCCAATTATGTATAACTTTGCGCCAATAATTGTAATGGATAAAATATAAACAGTCTTGTAAAAGAAAGATACATAGGAAATTATTCATCAATTAAATCAAAAAGTTAAAATTCAATGATTCTAGAATTCTTATACATTTTAATAGTGAATTTATTAGAAAATGAACTTTTTAGTTATAGATAGAATTTGATATCATGAGTCAATTACAGTTAGACCAATATAAAAAACTTGAAAGCATTGAACGGTCGTTTGGTCATAGTATAGTACTCCTCAAAAATACGCATCCACGATCTCATCCGGAGGACTCGAACCTAGGACCTATCCGTTTCGCGCGCAGTTGCTTAGAACACTGAGCTGTCATCCAATGATGTAAATGTCTAACTTCAAGCAATTCATAAAAATAATCAGTAAGGCTTACTTAATGTAGCTTATTTTATGTCTTGTAGGGTCTATCGTTATGTAAACTCGATCAATATTTTCATTATGTGGTAAATTTGAATTACAAATCTTCTGTATTTACAGACAACCTTAGAACTTATTCTTAAATGCTCAATTAATGTAAATTAACAATTGATAAGTGACTGTGGGGATTGATTTCAAAGGATATATTCTCTTAAAAAGGTTTAATTCAGCGATGTTCATCTATTGCCTCCATTATTCCATACAAACCTAAGTTATGTTAATACACAATAGGAAATCATTCTTAATCTTTTGTTTTGTTTTTGTTGTTTTCCTGACTACATTTATGTGTAATTGATTAGGTAACATCCCATCTTTGTTCTTAATTTGTCATTGATAAGTTAATGTACAAACCAATACTATTAATATAATTACTTGCTAATAGTAAATTATGGAATAATTAATGTCTATTAGTTGAGGTCATGAGTCAACTGCTGGGGAGTCCCACAATAAGACGAAACAGCCGTTCAGTGTTTCCAAGTTTTCCATGGTGGTCTAGCTTCAATTGACTCATGATCTGAACTATTGAAATTACTACAATCTCCACAAAACCCCTACTGATACTAATGTTTATTAACTTACTATAAAAACCTATGAGATAGAATAACCATAAAAATATACTTGTCGTAAAACAACAGACTGGTATGAGTTGACGAAATTTTTTACCACATACTATCTTCTTATAAGACTGTTCTGACTGGGATTCTCGTATATCTCCTTTCATTATCCATTTATCCTTTTCTTTGTTAAGTCTAGAAAAAAAAGTGTACATTAAGCGATATTAAAAGTGAGTATTACATGTTTAAAGCAGTTTCTAAAGGTTAACACTTTATTAAATGAATAAAGCATACAATAAGGGAATGCCGTATTTTTTTGTGGCCCGTAGTTCTCGACTCCATTTAGAGCGTACGAATGTTTGTTATCGCCTATTCTCGTATAGAATCGTCGACTTAAATCACGTTATCCAATAACAGAATTAAATAAGTCGAATAACGAGAATTGACTTGAGAATACATATATTTTGTATATGAAGCGAATGAAAAAGAGCAGAGCAAAATGACACGCAGGGAAGATGGCTGGGAAGCCAACTCCATTTTAGTCAAGCGTTACTCAATATTTATAGTCAGATAAAATAAAGCTACAGACATGTGATTAATGGAATAAGAAGGGCACACACATATACGCTCATATAAAAACAATCTAGATTGATAAGCGAATAAATAACAAGGTCAAAGTATGGCTCAATTAGAATAAATAGAATGGGATGTCCGAAAGCTAGAATAAGGTATATGGTCTTAACTGGCACTATATATTTTAACATGTTTGAATTGTGAAGAATGTTAAATTTAGAGTTAGTTTTTGTCAATAAAGGTTTCAGTTAAAGAGAGATGTATAGTGCTCTCTGCGAAGTGGTGGTTGACCTCAACCCTATATATCGATATTCGGTGTTAGGGTCTATGAAAAAGTCTATAAACAAACCTTTGAAATGATATACTTTAAGGTTACTTGTGAAGCTTTCTTACTAAGGACAATAATTAAACCTTGCAAAAAATAAATCATAATAGATCGTTATCATAGCATATAATTTTGAAGATGAGACACTGACTACAGATCCGTTTGTAAATGATGGTTGTTAACAATCAGTTGTTATGATCAATGTTACTGAACTAGAATGTACAACCTTTTTGAACAACATTCCTCTTATTAATAACCAAGTATTTACTTTAGTTTCGTAAATCAACTTTACTAAAACTTATTAGAACATGCAAAATTAATGTCATTGTATTCGTGAATATCATTATTTGGAAACAAATAGTGCCGTTGGTCTTAACGAAGTGTCCGTTTCATGCGTCAGATGCATCTCCTTTAGAAGTTTCGTATTTATCCCATTTACATCATAAAATTCAATTAGAGGCATTTGATTCGAAAGAATTACGAATAAAGTGTCAATGTGTACATGAGTAGGAAAACTCATAAGACTCGATTAGTTATATGAGCATAATAACATGATATATTAATGAAGCTTTACGAATCGCAACAATTATGGTGCTGTTATCACCGTAGCCATATGGTGCTTGTAAATTCATTTTATTAACAATGAGATCACGCTTACAGATCGGTTTTGTCCACCGATTGAACTTACAATAATCAGTTTTTCAATTAGCACTTATAATATACTTTTTTTAAGATTCAAATAATGATTTTTTTTAATAAAAGAAAATAATTTCTAACCTTACTCAGGTTTTATCTTTTGAACTTAAGTTTTCCAATGTAAAACAATGAGATTAGTCTATGCATTTTATGTTCTAGATAACTTTTTATGTACAACTAGATCAATAACCTAACTCCAGAAGTTAACCACAAAAAGGTTTTTATCTCAATGTATGCCTGCTAAGACTCGGAATTCATTTGAAGCGAACGATTGGAGATTTACACATGAATTTACATTATTATTTGAAATTTGTGCGTGAAAGAGTTGTCTACATTCTAATCAATATGAAATCATAGGACGCTATTGGTAAAATTACATAATATCACATTTTGACTAAATGATTTGTCCACTTGACATAGAGATGATCGTTTGGTCAATGGATTGAAATAATTGCGTCATCAAGGGAAATATGAAGTATTAAAGGTACTAATGCTACCCATGGAAAAGTTCTAGCTCAATGTTGAGAATTTGAGACAAAGATAGATGGTGGCTAGCAGTGAAATCCAGGATACGCGCTTCGTTCCTTTTGGGGTTCATCAGCTGGGTGTGCCTGGATCCCGGGGTTTGCTTTCACTCTGAGAATCGAACCTTGGTGTTGTTTACTCGATTCTTCACATTGATGTTTAGGACTGCAGTTGACCAGTCTCTTATTGGCATATGTGCATTCTGTGTGGATTGCCTCGATATTGCTTTAATTCACAAGCATTCTAAGAAAGAGTGGAAAGTCGTTAACAGTGGAATCCGGGACACGTGTTCCGTTCTATCTGGGATTTGTCGGCTAGATTCATTTGCATACTAGCGTTGATGTTCACTCCTGAACAGGTACATCTTGTTAGTGAGTCCTAAAAAGGACAAAACCTGCGTCATGTATTCTACTGCTAGTCCCCTATCCATCTCTGCTTATAATGCTTGTGATTTAAAGCAATATCGAGGCAATCCGCACAGGATGCACATATGTCTATAAGAGACTGATCAAATGCAGTCCTAAACGTCAATGGGAATATTCAAATACCAATGCACATGAGCCGTTATTTAATAGATCTAATAAGTCATTATTTTGTGAAAACAAATAATGCTTCGAGCTAACCATATATTAAGAGTTAATACAACTTAATTAAAAAGTCCTATTTTGCAAATAGACAAAACTGCTATTTACTGAAAAATATCTCTAACCAATCTCAATTATTTCAAACACAAAGTGAATAAATGGAACAAAACGTATACAATACTTCCCAAATAGAAAACTATTTTAATGCGTAAATATTTCATTAACTCTTATATTCCTTGTGTAAACGTTCAGACCGTCTTAATGTACTGTTGTAGTGAACGAGAACGCAAATAGGGACAACCAAATACATCCGAATACAAAATTACAGATTCTCTTAGTAAAATTTGAGAACCATATAGTAAATACTTCATTTGCAAAATATCAATCAATCGTCTAATACTTCATTGTTCTTTCGCTTCCCTAATCTCATCATTTTCTCTTCGATCTCATTCTTCTTCCGCCAGGCATTTCACCTTCAACTGATCATATATACTATTTATATCTGTTGACATCAGTAGCACATACCACACTATGTGCTTTGGGTTTTGTTGTTCGTATTACCATTGAACACTAAAATGTCTTGCAATAAATCTTAACAAATTATATTCTTAGAAAAAAAATCCAAGTACACGTGGATCAAGAACACTGTCATGTTTTTAGAGTGACTATTGACTGAGTAAATAAATAAAAAAATCCCATACATATCTATCGTTTCTTGTGATAATAATTTCAATTTCTCATTGGAAATCATAAGTCTTGAACAATATTTCATTAAGAATAATAATTCAAATACACTGGAGAATAAATCAAAAAACCATTTAAGGGAATATTTATTTTGCATCTAACAATTATTACTATCAGTTTAGGGGTTGTGGAGATTGTTAAGTTTTTGATTGAGATCATGAACCGATTGATGTAAGATCACCATTGGTTGAGGTTAGACATTAACACCATTAGATGCCGACTCAGTTGTCCAGTAGGTTAGGCGTTCGCGCGCGAGACTGAAGGCCCTGGGTCCGGATCCCGCGGGCGGGACCGTGGATGCTCACTGCTCAGGAGTCCCACAATAGGATGAGACGGCCGTCCAGTGCTTCCAGGTTTTCAATGGTGGTCTAATATTAATCGGTTTATGATCTCAATAAAAAAATTATCATTATCAAATATGTTTACTGTCTATTTCACAGAATTTTTTTGTGGTTGATATTCTTATACGGTTAGACTAGAATTTATGGACAACCTCTGAGCGAAACTAAATTGACGTTGCGAGTGTTTACCTAATAACTAGGACCAAATGAAGGTTATAAACCAGTGTGAGGAATTCGAATTATGATTTACAGTTGATGATTAAGGTTTGGAATTACATTTATGGTTTTCATCATCAGCTATAATCGTAAAACTCTATTTAACCAAATGGATGAGTGAATTTCACATCAAAATCCAAGATCTTTTATCTTATATTTGATTGGTTCATTCATAAATTATAATCTCACCACTTATACAATAAAAAGTTGATAAAAAAAGAAAAGTACTACTTACTCATTTTCATTAAACTCTAAGTAATATTTACAAAATATTATCATTAATGGCATATAAATCATACAAATTGACCACCAAATTATATTCATTTGATTTTTTAATTTATATTGTTCAGGTATCCATGGTATTCGTGTAGCTGTATAATTTGGTAAATCATTTAATGGTGATCTTAATCTTAAATATATATCATATTGATTAATTAAATAAATAATGATACAAAATTGTAAAAAGCTGAAAATTAATAATAAATTTTGTAAAATATTTAATAATCGTTTCTGTATTTGTATTTTAGGGTATTGTAAATTCAATATGGTTACTTTATTGATTGATTGTATATATGGATTAAATATCATTGAATGATATTGATTTATTTCATTCATAGTTACTAAATTTAATTGATTATTATCTATTCTATTGACAGTTTTAATTTGATATTCTTTATTAGATTGTCCAACATCAATTTTAGTTAAGTATAATTCATCCATATTGTATATTTATGATGAATGATATAAGTTTTAGTTATTTGTTTATTGTTTTAAATATTTGATCTTGAGATTTGATTTCCTCATATTTAACTTGAGTTTTATTATTGTTGTATTTATAAGATAATTCAATCAATGAGATAATTTTAACATTCTGCTTTTTGGAATACACTAATGCAACCGGAATTAATTTCTTTGTTGTTAATGTACTTAACAAGAATCTTTGCTTTCATTGAATGGATTGTTTTTTATCTGAATGTGGGTTGTTAACTAGGGTCAAATAAATATTTAAATAAGAATTAAGTTAATTGATAACAAAAAGAAATCGATATTATTTTTCATCTTAGTCAAATGATCTTGTTGATCAGAATGATAAGTATATATATATATATACAAAAGAAATGAATAAAATTTAACTCTTCAATACAATGATATAACATGATCTATATTAAAACCTAATGAATTTATTTCATTAGATTGTGATGTATATTATTGATATCAACAGATATAAGTAGTATGTATCATTAATTAAAAGTGAAATACTTCGTGGTAGAAGATTAAAAGAAAGATCGAAAAGAAGAGAACAAGAACAGTGAATGATTGGTGTAGAAACGAAGGAACAATAAAGTCTGATTTCAAACCTGGAATTGCTTCCAGGTTTTCCATGGTGGTTTAGCTTCAATTGACTCATGATGTGAACTAATGAATTCACTACAATCTCTACAAAACCTACTTCTGATACAAATCAACATATGCTCACTAGTGACTGGTTTCCAGAGGTATATCCTGGAGTTCTAGTGAGAAGCAATGATCAGTGGAGTTCAACTGGGTTAGTTGTGAGATAGTAACTCACTGAAGACAATGGTGGATGTGTTGTTCGATTTCGTGAACTACTTGAAGTTAGACATTAATACCGTTGGATGCCAGCCGGCTCAGTGGTCTAATGGTTAGGCGTTCGCGCGCGAGGCTAGTAGGTCCTGCGTTGGAATCTCATGAGTCGGGATCATGGATGCGCAATGCTGAGGTGTCCCATAATAAGACAAAACGACCGTCCAGTGCTTCCAGGTCTTCCATGGTGGTCTAGCTTCAATTAACCCATGATCTCAGCTATCGAAATTACTGCAATCTCCACAAAACCTCTTCTGATACTAATAAAGTTAGAGACAATTGATTGACATAATGCAAATGAAGAAATTACTGTACAGTTCTTATATTTTACCAAGTGATTCTGTAATTTTTTATTCAAATACATTCGATTGTCCCCACTTGTGTTTTCATTCATTACAAGATCACCTCAATATTTTTTGATTATATTTAATAAAATATTATAATATTTTGAAATGTTGCCATTTAGATAGATTCAGTGATAAATTTTCAATATTTCATAATATGAATGAAACATTTCGTTTGGGTTATTTTTATTCTTCATATGATCTGAGTTTATGTCGGATATACAAAGAAGAGATTTCGACGACTTGGTTGAGAATAATTCTTCTTTGATGGCATTTATTTGTGTTGTATAGTAGTAAGTGGGTTTTGATGGTTCGTTCACATAAAGACTAACATATCAGAACGTGCGTTTTAATTCTCAAGAAAATTAATTTTCCATGGAGATTCAAAAATTCTTCCATCACAGTCTTGTTTTGAGATGCGTTAACTATGTGTTACAGGTTACCATCAATAACTGACAATGTATTAAACGTACTAATGAATAAGTCGAAACTAACCACTTCACACTCAGTTACATCTCAGTGCTAACTGATTACTGTCGACCACGTTCACTATACGATGATCGAGACAACTTGAATCAATTGATAATTACTGTTTGCAAACATGATCTTAATAAATCACATATCCAAACATCAGAATGAAACAGAAAACCAACATATTCACTAACTGGTGTATTGTTTTGTCATTCGAGTTAAGGTATGCACATTTCAAATGAGTTCGGTTAGCTGCAGTACAATATGAACCGTAATACTACCTGAAGTTTCATTAATCGATTGCAGTAATTTGAACCATTTAACACATAGCTGTTGAAATGTTTCGAGGAATAATATTTTGTTTTAAAGTTGAGAATTATCGTCATAATCTATGGAATCGTTGAAGAATGAAGGACCCATTTATGCAAAATTAATGGCTGATTTTGAACACACTAGTAAAGCGCTATACGAATATTCACGAATTTCTTTTTATATCTAATCAGATTCGGTAGAATGAATGAATGAGGAAGATTCAAATGTATGTTCTATAATAACTCATACCTATGAGTACATTAGATCGTGCATAACAGTGTCCCAGACAAAAGTTAAAGGCTTTCGTTCAAAATACAATAAGAATATTACTAAACGTCAAACATAAATAAAAGACAATTACATTCAATTAACCAAAAATTGTAACTAATGCCCTATACAAAATGACTGTTTGGATATATAGGCTTTGATAGTTTAACAGTGTCATGTACTACACTACTACCCACTGTTCAGTTTTACTGGAATAACCAATGTTTAGTATTGTGTTCTGATGGGAACCGATTCAGTGTTTTGTGCTGTCCGTATTTAAAGTAGCATTATGCGAACGGTTTAGCTCAAAAAATAGTGCATAGGTTTGTACTTGGTATTTGAGTTACAAAGTTATATCAACAGCATTTAATGAGTACTGACTGAGATTGAATTTTGATTAACGTGACAAATTGTTTGACAAGTCGATTAATGCTGAGAATTTTCTTTTGAGACAGTTACCTGAATCTTAAATACTTTAGCGAATCATTATCATCACGTAAAAGATATGGTCAGTCATCATTCTTCATTAATCAGTCCGTCAGCTACAACGTAGGACCAGGCACATATATACATCGGTCCAAGTTGCCATACCTCATTAACACAACAAGATGAACACCGGATTCATAAAGGTAGTTAATTCAATGATGGTAAAATATAAAAGAAAGACTGCATATAAGGATATAGTACAGGAAGAAAGAATTAGTACGTAGAAAGAAAGATATGAAGTGATTTTATTCTCATAGTTTAAGGGAAGATAGAGAGTGCATACACCGACGCCATTGTGATCGATTCTGAGCCATGTTACCAAGAGTCTCCAACCATTGGTTGCGAGTCACGCGGACTCCAAACAAGTAGTCTGCATCTCCCAACATGGCTCAGACTAGAAGTTTGTGACTTCAAGCACTGATTTGGTTTGGCCACCCCTAACTTTCTCCCAACCATCTCCAACACCGTTAGCACTGCACGTCGTGGTAATCGGTGTTCAGGCATACGTGACACGTGGACCAACCATCTCAGTCGATGAAGATTCACAACCTCATCAACTGATTTACCATCATTCCCTAATACTTTATGCCTAACCTCATTATTACTTACCCGGTGATCATAGCAGATGTGAGCAATATTTCTGAGATATCTGTGATCAAATACTAGTAACTTCCGAGTATCTTCTACTCTTGATGGCCATGTTTCGCAGCCGTAAATTAAAACAGAACGGACTGCTGCGCAGTATACTCGTCCTTTTACTGATAGATGGATATCTCGCCTTCGCTATAGTTGACGTATGTTAGCAAAAGCCAAGCGAGCTTTTCGAATTCGTGCTGAGATTTCTCCAGACACCAACCGTTAGGGTTGATCAAACTTCCAAGATAAGTGAAGTTGTCAACGCGTTCGACTACTTCACTCCCTATCCTTAGTTCAGGTGTTGACGCAGACCGGTCCTGAAGCAACAACTTGCATTTAGAGGGAGAAAGGCGCATTCCAAACATTAATGGTTGAATAGGATTTCCCATGAATTGTTAACCAGTCACTTGTATTTTATGAAGAGATCAACATTATTCGCAATGGTCATTAGTGCTCCAATACTAAACCAACCAGCACAGAGAACCCGACACTAATTACGTATACTATCTTCTCTACAAATGTTCCCCATCATTTTATTAATCATCTTGTAAATAGACATTCTTCGAAAAGAACGCAATAATGTTCTATACAAATACTTGACAAGTAGCCAAAACAAATCACCTCAGTGAAAATAGTTCAAATGTGCTTCCTCTCTTTCATTTAAACACCATAGCTGTTTAGTGACTATTTACTGATATTCGACAATGGCATACATCTCTATTTAGACAGTGTAAGCGGGAATTTGTGAAAAGTAACTTCACTCTACTTAAAACAAATATATTCATTCAATATAATTTTTTTCGAGACAATGAGGTTCGTTAAAGAATTCTTGAGAGATTGAACAACTGAGGAAACAATCTCATTATTGTATTGTGTTGAGAGTTTATTTTTACTGGTCATTTATTTTCTATACCTAATGGAACATAAACGTATGAAATTTCTACATGAGAAGTACAATATTTCCTTTCTACGATCGTGGGTCAGTGAAGATGCTACACAGACATAATGATTGGATAATTATAATTCTTTTACAGATTCGCGTGTGTTATAATCTAACAATTGTTACAAACTTACGCATACTTTAATCAGGATATTGATTTACTTTAGCAATCTCACGTTCAACATAAATATCTGTTGTTGTCCAGTGCAAAATCATGCATGGAGGACAGCTGACAGATGCATTCTAAGTAAGGACCGGAGTCAGACAAGGCTGTCTACTTTCCCCTTCCTCTTTCTTCTGGTGGTTAACTGGATTATGAAGACCTCGACATCTGAGGTAAAGCACGAAATACAATGGACAGCTCAGAATCAGTCAGACGAATTGAACTTTGCAGAAGACCTAGCCCTCCGATTCCATACACACCAACACATGCAGATGAAGACAACTAATCTAGCAGCAGCCTCTGCATTATTAGGCCTTAACATACACAAAGGAAAAAGCAAGATCCTTAAATGCAACACGTAGAACACCAACCCATCCACACTTTATGGCGAAACTCTGAAAGATTTGGAATATTTCACGTACCTAGGAATCATCGTCGATGGACAGGGAGGATCAGATGCAGACGTAAAGATGAGGATTGGCAAAGCAAGGACGGCATTCCTACAATTAAAGAGCATATGGAACTCAAAACAACTTCCAACCAACACCAAAGTCAAAATCTTCTATACGAACGTCAAGACAGTCTTGCTGTACGGAGTTGAAGCGTAGAAAACTACTATAACCATCATCAAGAAGGTAATAAGTATTTATAAATAGTTGTCTACGCAAGATACTCAGCATCCATTGGTCGGATACCATCAGCAACAGCCTTTTGTGGGAGAAGAAAAACCAGCTTCCAGATGAAGAGGAAATTAGGAAAACATGTTGGAAGTAGATAGGACATATATTACGGAAATCATCAAAATGCACCACGAGACAAGCCCTAACTTGGAATCCCGAAGAGAAACGAAGAATAGGAAGGCCAACGAACACATTACGTCGGGAACTAGAAGCAGATATGAAAAGGATGAGTAGCAACTGGAAAGGATTTCCAAGGACAAGGTTGGATGGCGAGTGCTGGTGAGCATCCTATGCTCCTCCACGAGGAGTAACAGGCGAAAGTAAGTCCATTTGAGTTGTACTTAGTATTTACATGATTATTGTAATTTTTACGAGAACATTCTACTTCATATATATGAAGTCTAGAGTGAAATATTCTGCGTGGTTTTAGTGAATGTGTTGCTCTACTCATTCCGCAGCTTCTTATACTTTATAATTGAACCATCGTTATAAACTTATACAGAATTGATCAGGATATTAATCTATAATCACTATCTCGTCTCCAGTCAAGACAAATGTGCAATATTTTCATCTGATAAATGATTTCAGATGGAATCCATTTAGCATCTCCATATTAATACAGATGATTCCTGAAATCATCTGTGTTTTTGAAATTGAATAACAACACGTTATTCTTGAAATATTTAGGTTCTGCTTCATTGTTTAACACAGTTATTTGTGGTCAAAATAAAAAAATATTATTTAGTTTAAAGAAACAACAGTTTGAGTTTTATGACATCCAATCAAATACTTCTGTGAAATGGTTGCCGTAAAACAAATTTTATTGGTGTACAGGGAATGTGAAGGGTGTTATACGCTTCTAATTTACCTTGTCCTCATAAATGGTTACACTACCGAACAAAGTGTGATGATAAAAGCACTCTGTTTTAACTTCTTTCATTGACGGTAAGTAGTGTTGAAGTGAGATGACGTTTGTAATGTATTCTTTATGTCTCATTGATAGAAATGTTGTATGATAATAATGTAATGGTTGATTTATCGCAAATGGCTAACATTTAAATAAAGTGAAATGTTTACATACGGCATAAATTGGTAAACCCTGTTCTACTGATTTCTGGTCATCGATTCGGTGTGAAATAATGACTACATTATAACGTTTTACTGGTGTTGACTTGTGGAGATTTTGTACCTCTGGAATGCGAAGGTTGTCACAAAGAAGACAGCTGGATAATGTTTCAAAAACCTGGAAGATTTAATAACTGTTCTGCTTCAACTTCAGTATTCCAAGCTTTCCCGATCCAGATAGAAATTTCAGGATCTCTCGGTGAACATATAAATTATTGATCTGGTTTATGTCTAACAACAGTGAAATATATATTCAAACTGAATAGATCCATACTAGATTGTCTCAGTAACAAATACTGTGTGAGAACTGCCATTTTTTGTAAAGATATATTAGTTGGTGTTGAAATTATGATTGGCTGCATGTGAATTCATCTAACTTGAATATGATGCAGTTGTACGTGCATTGGTCTAGATGAAAGATTGGGTGTATGTGAAAATGAAAACTGTTGAATACTGATTCCATAGCTTAGTAGTATTCTTTTCATGATACCTCAAGTTCGTGAGTTGATTTAATTTGAAAGTCCTCGGTGTGTACCACAAATGAATCTCAATGTTTATTTCATTTTTGTATTGGTTGTTTAAATCCTTCCCATTGATGTTTGAACTGCAATTGATCAGTCTCTTATTGACATATTTGCATCCTGTGTGGATTACCCCGACATTGCCAACAAGTCACAAGCACTGTAAACAGAGATGGATGTTCTGGATTCTACTGTTTACTGATCCTCACTGACTTTCACATACTGACATTATAGTGAAAGTGATTGAAAACTATTTTATACGAAATACTAGAAAATGAATTCCTCACTTGAGATCAGTAAGCAATGTTTAGTTTTCAAATATCGGAGTTCGTAATGTTTTTACTGAGGTTGATCATTTGTACCTTTTGAAATTACTATCGATCGTCAGTATGGGGATTCGTGGAGATTGTAGTATTTCAACAGTTGATTTCACTAGTTAATCTAAGCTAAGCCACTATTGGAAACTTGGAAGCACTGGACATGTCCTTTTGTCTCAGTATGGGACTCCTCAACAGTATGCATTCACGATCTCGCACTCGAGACTCGAACTAGGAAACTTCGGTCTCACGCGTGAACTCTTAGCTTCATCTTTCAATATCGTTGCTAGATAATTGGTTCACATTCAGTAGGGCTGGTGCTCAAGGAATTACCGCTAGATATAAGCCAATGGTAGGGATATTATTATGATTATCACTATTTAGAGTTAAATATCTGTATCCCGTTAAATACCTTAAATTTAGATTCTTTTCAGTAAATTTATTGAGCAATTACTTTTAATTTAGTATGAGAAATGTTTTATTACATCATCATGATTATTCATTATTTCATATTTGATAGAATTAAGATTAAAAGTCTTATTTATGTACTATTATCTTGCTTTTAATGTCCAATTACAGTTTTCCTATTTTTTTAATTCATAGTCAAACGATACACAATATTAATTGAACAGATTCATTCTTAATTAACTCATACTCTTCCGATTATCTATACTTGATTAAAAACTTTCAAGGAAAGTTTGTTCTGTACAAAAACAAGTTACAATCATGTATCAGGATAGGTTTATGACATAGGATAGGAAACCGTGAACCTAGGATTCTTGCTACTACTTGGCACTCGTCAGAAAGATGTACCTGTAATTCCCTGACGGATTCGGTCTCCTGCCACCCAGCTTCACAGTCAAAGATGTTGCCATTGAGCTGTCCGGGCTGCGACTGAGATCCTGTAGGACTGAGATGTACTTACAACTAATTGATCACTGGGTGATGATCAATCTCATGTATGTCAGATCCTTCTTAGTACAGATCGAATACTATCGATCAAGTTACAATGTTGCCGCCGGTCTATGTGACTTGACATTACGTGCACTATTTTGAGATAAGATAGTGGTTGAAGGTAGTCAACAGGAAACCGTGAACCTAGGTTTCGTGCTACTTGGCACTCGTCAACAAGGTATACCCGTAATCTTGAGGGAATTGGTACTCCTTGACGGACTCGATCTCTTGTCACCTAGTTTCACAGTCAAAGATGTTAACACTAAGCTATCCGGTCGGCGACTAACATGTTCTTTATTGTATGTGTCACACTCAAAGAAAGAATATTCAGATAATCAATTCAATTGAATTATATTTTCTCTCTTAGATTCATTGAATCAAAATCTATACATAAACTTTTATATACAAAGTGGGATGTATACATATAATAATGAAATTAAAAGAGAGAATTTGTAATAAATGGCTATCTATTTTACTTCTATGTATCATAATAATTAGCTTATGGAATATGGCTTTTCAGTTTTATATAAAAATTATTGATAATTATTCAATACGGTTTTTTTCAAATATTCCAACTGAAAATTTAGAAAAATCTATTCCTGTAAGTTATTGTATAATATTTGAATAATAATTTATCTTTAATTTATCATACTACTAAAGATTAAGCATTCGGGTAAGTTCTGGGTACGAATCGCGTGAGACAGGATCATGAATGTGCGCTGTTGAGGAGTCCCACAATAAGACGAAACGGCCATTCAGTGTTTTGAGGTTTACCATGGTGATCTAGCTTTAATTGACTCATGATTTCTACTAGTGAAATAATATTCAGTTAATTAACTGAATTTTAATGATTTAAGGAAAAATATATAATTTCCTTTTACTATTATTATTATCAGTTTCTTAATAGTTCGGTTCATGAGACAATTGAAACTAGACCACCAATGAAAACCCGGAAGCACTGGACAGTCGTTTCGTCCCAGTGTGGGACTCGTCAGCAATGTGCGTCCACGACCCCGCCTCGCAGGATTGAAACCCAAGACCTCTTAATATTAGTCTAACCTTACTATTATTACACTATCTGAGAATATGCATTTAGAAATTATCATCAAGAAATGAGTGGGAAGCTTTATTATTAGCTTTATTCAGTAATATATTTTTGGTACACTATAGAATTCTCAGCACAAAGTTATTCAACAAGTTTCCGTTTCATACTTCTTAATCGATCCTGACGATAAATATTGAGTGATAGCCAGTTAGAATATAGTAGTCCAGTCAATCGACATCTAAATAATGTAAATTCTTTTTGTTGTATACATATTGTCAGAAACCACAATATCTCTGATTAGTCCTTTTGTAACTTGTACAACAGAAGGTTGTACAGTTTCCAGAAAAGTATCTGAGTAATTTATATGATTAATAGCCATAATGTTGTAATAAAATAAACAAAACTAGATAACTTATTGAAATATCTAGATGGCAGGAATAGGTAACCCAGATTTTCAAGCGGGCCAACTTTGGTAATGTGATCATGTTTGAAATGGTATTATTAATGTTAGCTTAACCATATTATTATTACACTATCTGAGAATATATATTTAAACATAATCATTAAGAAATGAACCAGAAATTTTTCTTAACAAAATCGTTTTCAGCTAATATATCCAAATAAATATTTGAAAAATAAATAAATTTACTTTTCTAATAGTTGAATTTATGAGTCGACTTAAGCTAGACCACCACCATTGAAAACGTGAAAGCACTGGGTTACCGTGTCGTTCTAGTATGGGACTCCTCATTAGTGTGCACTCACAATTCCAGATGAGGGACATTTATGTAAAAATAATTATCACAGGAGTTCATTATCACTTAATGGGTTTTCTAGTTTTTAATTATTGAATGTAGATAATTATTCTCCGTTGATTTATGACTTTTTTTTGAATGAATATTTCGACATTGCTTGCAACTAGAAGTCAGATACAAGTTGTACGTTTAATATTATCACTTAGATTCAGATCTCGATACTCGCATTAAAATTTGAACATTATACACTTCGGTTAGAATTTGTAACGCTATACACCTTATTCAATAAGTATGATATTTATGAATTTATATCTTCTCATTGTGAAAATTCAAATTGTATTTGAATAATTTTCACTCTATAACATGAGTTCACTTAACTTAGGAATGTATATCAGTGAATTCTAACACAGTGATCCTAGAGTATCTTGCTAGTTATGTAATCTTCATTTGTATACCATACAGTGTTGTATTTGCACACTACTGAAAAATCCTTGCCTGATATAAAGTTTATGCATTATTTTTCTTTTGGTGGATGTGTCGTTCAATTTCGTAGATTATTTGAAGTTAGACATTAACACCGTTGGTTGCCTGATAAGTGGTCCTACAGGTTAAATGTTCGCGCGCGAGACTGGATCGTGGATGTGCACTGCTGAGGAGCTCCACAATAGGTTTTCAATTTTTCTTTAATCGACTATAGATCTTGGTGATAGCTAACGCTACTTTTGGTTCGTAATTCATATATATATTTCAATAGTTGAGATCATGAGTCAATTGAAACTAGACCGCTATGGAAAACTAGAAACACCGGACGATCGTTTCGTTCTATTTTTGAGCTCCTCAGCAGTGCACATTCATGACCCCGCCACTCGGGATTCGAATCCAGGACCTATCACTCTCATGTACGAGCGCTTAACCACTAGACAACTGAGCCGGTTGGCATCCAACCAGCTAATCCACGAAGTTTATATATATATTTATATATATGAACTCTGTTTTAAAAGTTGATTATTGATAAAAATGAATTTGTAAATTAGAACTAATAACCTTTAACCTTTATTGTTCTAATCGAACTGCCAATTAAATTATTTAACTATTTAATAAACAAACAACTTTTAGAAATGATAGCCCGTATACCTTATGTTTATGCAATCCTTAATAACAGTGTAAATTATTTTAAATACCAACATTATATTCATTATTACAGTTTGTTTGTTATATGCTCCTTAATCATTCATCTAACGTTATTTGTTGTTGTTGTTGTTGTTGTTGATAATATATTCTTATTATAGGAATGTCCAAAATATATTCGGAATCCAAGTAAGCAATGATAATAATTAATTAATCTATGAATTTATATATTTAGTCATTTAATTTGTAATAATTTAACTACTATATGTATTATTGAAAATAATCTTTTTGTTTTACAGAAATTGAATAACTAAGCTTATCATTAATAATTTAACTTCTATGACTGAAAATCTATTTGATCTACAATGAAATCACAATTGATTCATTATTAGTAATAGATATTGTCTACTTTCTAATGTAAACTGTCTACATGCATTTCGTAGATGTATGAAAAAATTTGGCATTCTCTCGCTCTCTCCCTCTCTCTCTCTCTAGTGACAATGCTTATTTTAAAATAAATCAATTGACCAAGTTTTTTGCCACGAATATTGATGATTTTAAGTTTGTTTTAAATCTTTTACTATTTTTTTTACACTAACTCTTTAGTTGGACATAGAAACATCACCGTAGTAGCACCAACATGGTCTGATTTAGTACGATTATATACTTTGTCAACTGATATAACATCATCGACAACTTCGGTTCGTAAAACGTTTTTTAAATTAATAAAGCCTAATAATATGTCAAGAAAGGATGTCGGACTTTGGGGTCCGACTGACTGTAAACCAGATGAAAAGTTGGCTATCATTGTTCCTTATCGAAATCGAGATGAACATTTACGTCTGTTTATAAAACATATGCATGAATTTTTGAGAAGACAACAATTAATGTATACGATATTTGTGATCAACCAAGTAAGTTTGTATGTTATAAAGATATATATGATTTGTTCAATATAATATTATTGTTTATGAGTATGATTTTCACTATCAGTTACGTTTTATACTTCATGAAAATATTTATTCTTATCAAGAATTTGTTCTTTTCTTCAGTACTTGATAGTTCTAGGTTTTGCATTTGTTAGAGTTACTTCCGATTGAAAATTATAAGATTGTTTCTTTCAAAAAGATTGATTGACTGGACTATGATATTGTGTTGTGTGCTACTGATGTCGACAAATATAAGTAGTATGTATGCTCAATCGAAAGTGAAATACCTGGCAAGAGAAAGTTAAGAAGATCGAATTAAAGAGAAACAGAACAAAGAATGATTGGTGTGAAAACGAAGGAACAATGACGTTTGAAACAATTGATTGACATTTTGCAAATGAAGTATTTATTTTATGGTTCTCAGATTTCACTAAGATATTCTGTATTTGTTTGTCCTCATTGGTGTTCTCGTTCACTACAATATTATTGAATAACTAGCAGAAAATAGCTAAGATTTCAATTTCACCATATAGTTCATGATGTCACGTGATAATTTCACCGACTAAACAGATGATTTCATCATTTTTAATGAGTTAGATTTTTATTGTTTGGTGATTCACTTCCTAGTTATACTAATACTATCTATTAAACGAAACTATTATGTTGTGAAGATTGTCAAGTTTTTAACTGAGATCATGAATCAATTGATGTTAGACTATTATTTAAAATCTGGAAGCACTGGGCAGGCCGTCTCGTCCTAGTATGGGACACTTTAACAGTGCGTATTCACAATCCCGCACACGAGACTCTAACTCATCATCGGTCTCGTTTAACCTCTAGGCTACTGAGCCGGTATCCAACGGTGTTAATGTCTAATGTCAAGTAGTTCATGAAATCGCGCGGGCGCCTTCCATTCTCTGAATTAGATACCTGTCTCTACCTGACATGGATTAGCTCCACTGGTCACGGCTTCTCACTGGAACTCCGAGAATTCCTTCACGAAGCCAGTTACTAGTGAGCACATGGTATTTATCGGTATAGCGGTTGAAGCTTGACATTAACATCGTTGGATACTGGCTCAGTGGTTTATACATTAAGCAAGATAAAAAAACTTAAGTTCGAATCCCGCGTGCGGGATCGTAGATGCGCACTGTTAAGGTGTCCCATACTAGGACGAAACGGCCTGTCCAGTACTTCCAGGTTCTCAATGGTGTCCTAACATCGATCGATTCATTTTCTCTATCAGAAAAATATTTGATAGCCTGAAAAAAATTCTTTATAAAATTCGTTTATTACTTCCCTTCATAAATTAAAACAAAAGACATTGTCGAACTCATTGAATGCATGATATTAGTTTGTTCACTCCTTAACCTCATAGAAGTTAATCACATGATTGGATGACAAAATTGATCAGAAATTGATTATTAACCTTCTTTTATTGTAGTTTGTAAGCTTTTAAGTTCATGCTATTTTCACTTTTCATTGTAATATAGAAAACAATCGCTTTGGACTACTTTCCAAAACTAGTATTTTTATTACACATATAATATTCATTAGAATTTTTCAGTTTAAGTCATAATATATTATCATCTACTATAAACTCTATTTATTCACTGATGAACAACTTCATTTCTAATTTTCACATTTGTTGTTATTTTAAATTAATTTTACCTATTCAGTTCTATGCAACTGGAAAGAATGTAACTATTTACGATGGATACATTATGATTCTGTATTTAAAAAAAACATTATAATTCTCCCTTTGCTAAAACCAATTAGGATTAGATTTACAAAAGATCTGATAAAGGTCATTTAGTCTAAAACATAGAAACATTATTTATAATTTATAAGCAAAGTTGGATAGTGGCTAGTAATGGTATTCAGGACACGCGTTTCGTCCCATTTGGGACTCGTCAACTGGATGTACTTGCGCCTCGGGGTTGATGTTCAATCTGAAACTCAACCCAGTAAAGTTTGCTTCAAACGTCATTGTGTTATCCGCTTAGCTACTAATTCCTAATAGCCAACTTGCTTGTGCAATGGAGTGAAGTTTAAATTCACTTGGTATTGTTTGCTTGGTACTGGGTTCGAGTCCCTGAAAGAGCATCAACTCTGGGATGCAGCCACATCCAGCAGACGAGTCCAAAATAGGACAAAACGCGCGTCCTAGATTCCACTGCCAACCACCATCCAACTTTGCTTATAAAGCTAGTGGCTTGAAGCAATATCGAGGCAGCCCGCATAGGATGCATATATGCCAATAAGAGACTGATCGAATGCAGTCCTTAATATTAATAATAGGAAAATGCAAGCAAACAATATCACGTGAATTATTTATAATTGAAATACATTTTAGGTTGTGAGTTTACTTAATACAACATTATGATATTTAGATAACATTAAAGTAACAATCGAAAAAGTCTATTTATCATGCTGTTTTCAAATTATTATTCCCATTGATAACCAATAGATAAAAAAGTGATACTTTTCCGTTACTACTTCAGTTCAAGTAACTGTGATTTTTAAGTCAATGAAGGATTCTCATGTTTTGGATAAGCAAACGGGAGACTAAATTACAAATATTCAACTGCACTGGCTATTCTTTCTTGCTAATTCCTCTTTTCAAGTAATATTACATGAGATTATTTCAAATATAATTTTCACATATAATGGCTTCTCTATACTCTGCGCCCAATTTCTGTCAAACTGTTCGTTCTAATCTTGACAAATATTCGTATAAATTACTTGAGATGTTTTTAGTTTTCACTTTAATGATGTAACACTTGACGTTTTTGTTTTTATTATGATTAATTATTCGATACAATGACGTTTTCAAGTTCAAGTAGATTGCATGCCCACCTTGACTTACTGTTGCTGCCATACACTGAACATACAAACATCGATATTTGGAATAAGTCGTGTATTACTTACTTGCTTACGCCTGTTACTCCCAGTGGAGCATAGGCCGCCGACCAGCATTCTCCAATCCACTCTATCCTGGGCCTTCTTTTCTAGTTCTATCCAATTCTTGTTCATTTTTCTCATGTCTGTCTCCATTTCCCGGCGTTATGTGATCTTTTGTCTTCCTCTTTTCCTTTGGCCTTCAGGATTCCATGTGAGGGTTTGTTTTGTGACACAGTTGGGTGCTTTCCTCAATGTGTGTCCTATCCACTTCCAGCAATTCTTCCTGATTTCTTCCTCCGTTGGGATCTGGTTTGTTCTCTCCCACAGTAGGTTGTTGCTAATAGTGTCTGGCCAACGGATCCGAAGTATTTTACGTGGACAACTGTTAATAAACATTTGTATCTTCTGGATGATGGCTTTCGTAGTTCTCCAGGTTTCCGCCCCATACAGTAGAACTGTCTTGACATTTATATTAAAAATTCTGACCTTGGTGTTGGTTGACAGTTGTTTTAAGTTTCATATGTCCTTCATTTGTAAATATGCTGCTCTTATTTTTCCGATCCGTGCCTTCACATCTGCATCAGATCCATCATGTTCATCAATGATATTGCCCAGATATGTAAGGGATTTTACATCTTTCAAATCTTCTCCGTCAAGTGTGATTCGATTGTTGTATTCTATGTTTTATCGGAGAACCTTGCTTTTCCCTTTGTGTATGTTGAGACCTACTGCTGCTGAGGCTGCTGCTATACTGGTCGTCTTCTCCTGCATTTGTTGCTGCGTGTGTGACAGAAGAACCAGATCATCTGCGAAGCCTAGATCGTCCAGCTGCATCCTATTTGTCCACTGTATCCCATGCTTCCCTTCAGATGTTGACGTCTTCATGACCGAGTCGGTCACCAGGAGAAAGAGAAAGAGTGAGAGTAAGCAACCTTGCCTGACACCGGTCTTTACTTCGAACGACTTCGTGAACTGTCCTCCATGCACGATTTTGCAGTTCAATCCATCATATGAATTATGTATGATATTGACTATCTTCTGAGGCACGCCGTAGTATCGAAGAAGCCTCCATAGCGTTGTTCTGTCCACGCTATCAAATGCTTTTTTGTAGTCAATGAAGTTGACGTAGAATGATGAATTCCATTCAATTGATTGTTCTACAATGATCCATAGAGTTGCGATTTGGTCTGTACACGATCTAAACTTACGGAATCCTGCCTGTTGGTCTCGAAGTTGGGCGTCTACGGGGTCCTTCATTCTGTTTAACAATACCCTGTTGAAGACTTTTCTTGGTATTGAGAGAAGAGCGATGCCCCTGTAGTTATCACAGTTGCTGAGATAACCTTTCTTTGGTATCTTAACCAGAAGTCCTACTTTCCAGTCTGTTGGTACTTGTTCCTTATCCCAAATCTTATTGAAGAGAATATGGAATATCTTTGCAGTTACTGCCACGTCCGCTTTCAGTGCCTCTGCTGGAATGTTGTCTGGTCCTTCTGCTTTGCCACTCTTGATTTTTCTAGTGACCGTGATGATTTCTTCAATTGTTGGTGGGCCAACATCGATTGGGAGGTCCGTGGGTGCCGCTTCGATGTTGGGTGGGTTGAGTGGAGCTGGTCGATTCAAGAGTTCTTTGAAGTGTTCTACTCACTTGTTTCGTTGTTCCTCAATGTTAGTGATTACCTTGCCTTCCTTGCTTCTCACTGGTCGTTCTGATTTGCGGCGATTTCCAGAGAGTTTCTTTGTTATGTCATACAGTTGTCTAATGTTTCCTTCTCTTGCAGCCCTTTCCACCGTCATCGCTAAATCTTCCACATATTTACGTTTGTCATTTCTGATGCTCCTCTTCACTTGTTTGTTTACTTCTGTGTATTCAGCTTGTGCCTTGGCTTTTTCTGCTCTTGTTCGGCTGTTATTGATTGCTGCCTTCTTGTTCCCCCTTTCTTGAATCTTATCCAGTGTATCAACATTGTACGAGCATTCCATGTACCTAAATAAATGGTTGCTCTGTTTGTCAGAAGGGGCATCTGCCTCGTGACTTCCGAAGGAACTCGGCTTTCATCACGAGGCGTCATAACTCTTCTAAATGAAGGCCTTCTGAGTCCCAGGGCAGAGTTTAAAAGGTTTGAATAATTTTTTTCTGGTTGGCGATTTTAGCGAGTTAGTTTTCTACGGGATGGGGTCACTAACCCCATGCCCAACCATCCTCCTTTATCCGGGCTTGGGACCGGCAGTAACCCCCGGAAGGACTCCAGGTGGAGTTAAATCGTGTATCACTGTCCCCAATATTTTTATACCTATATGTATTACCAGAATTTTACTGAGTACTGCTTTATACATATTAAAATTTCGTAATATACCAATGAACTGTCGTTATAATTTTACTAAAGTGTACTGAAATTTGTATTTCTTTTCATGATACATAGTGATTTTGTATAGCTGCTTTTCAGGAAAGTGAATCTAAGTTTAATCGCGCATTACTACTGAATGTCGGATTCATTGAATCCTATCGAGTTGCATATTTCGATTGTTTCATATTTCACGATGTGGATTTATTGCCAGAAGATGATAGAAATATGTATCGATGTTCTGAACAACCAAGACATTTAAGTGTTTCAATAGATCAATATAATTATCAGTAGGTAAAAGATCTTTAGAGTTTCAATGATAATATATTCATTCTGACTGATAATTGATTCAAATTTGTGATGTTCTTATCCGGATCACTTCTCTGATTATCATGTATGGACTTGTTGGTTTTTGCAGGTAAATGAACAATAATTTATGGAATACAGGTGAATTTCTGAAATTGATCAAACAGCGACATGATGGTTGCTTATTTAAAATTGATCAATTAATGGGTGGTATCCAATATTATAATTATCTAGTTACTTACTGCATATCAAATTCATCCCATTCGGTTGAAAAATGCTTCTAGTGTGAGTGGCTCGACATCGTGTACACTATGATTAGATAATAGGTGGTTAGAGGTAATCGACAGTAAAAATTAATAGTGGGGACTAGACTAATATGACTTGGGTAACCAGTGAGGGATGAATTAGCCTAAATATCTTGCTTTTGAAGCAGGAAATTTGCGGTTTGAGAAGTTCAATGATAATATCTCAAACTGTAAAAGTGATTGATTGTAATTGTAATCTCACTGGTAACGTGATTTCCCTCAACTTTCGAAGTATATTCTATCGAGTGCCTAATAACAAGCAACGTAGGTGTAGGTTTCTCTGGTGACTACCATCGTTTATCTAACGCGATTAATTATACTCTTACTAAATGTATTTATGTACCATGGAATATTGCTATTTTGAAGACTTAAAAAACGAAGTTTGCACTTTCTGGTACAGGTCAAAATAACAGCTGGTAATTTATGAGGATGATACCATATCTTCATTAGCACTCTAATTCACTCTTTTATCAACTTATCCCCAACTTATTAACCACTGTATAGAAGGTGGGAGGTAACTAACTTATATGTTACACAAATCCCACAACTCTAGCTGATAAAGATTTAATCACCTTTACAGCGCTACGACTAATTGCCAAGTTGTTTAAACTTTCAGTAGTGTAAGCAACGTAACTGAGTTGTTAGGACAGTTGGTTAATTTAAAGAATAACAATCAGAAATTCCGTAACAGTTAAAACTTATCAATGAAGATAATACGAATAACCAAAAACATCTCTTTTTAACTTGATCAAGCGTTCCAATGTTGACTATTATGACGACAAGACAAATATGACTGTCAACCTACTGCTTACCAGTCAATGAATCACTGTTCAGATAGAAGTTGAAATACCCCCAAATTGTCCCCAAATATGATCCTAGTCAAACATTGTGAAAATGATTTCAAGATTTACTGTTAATTATTCATTTGATTTTCTGGTTAGTGTTTTGTTTTCTTTACAACCTTTTATATTTCAAGACTGATTTATCAGGAAAATTTTGGAGGTGTAATTGCCATCAGTCGTCAACAATTCGAGAAAGTTGGTGGTTTTTCAAATGTTTACTTTGGATGGGGAGGAGAAGATGATGATTTTTATAAGAGAATCATCTATCACAACTACAGTATTGTGCGCTATCCAGAGGAAATCGGTCGCTACATTATGTTGAGGCATAAAAGGGATTCACGAAATGAACCTAATCAAAGGCGGTGTGTTGGCATTTTGTTTGTAGGATGATGTCTTTTCCTTAGACTTTTTTATATCTTTTGAATCACGACTTCGATCACCTTTAAATTCCAGACTTATATAAAGGTTTTCTTCGGAACGGAACAACTAGAATTCTTGTCGTAGCTACTTCTATTCACATTCTTTCCTATGAACCGTTCTCGGTAACCATTTTCCGTCAAGGTTTTCTTGAGGAATGCGAGTTCTTCGTTAATGCATTCCGTACTGCATATCTGATGTATTCGATAGCATAAAGAATGGATAAGGTTTCTCTTCCTACTTAACGGAGCCCAGCTATAGTAGTTGGTTAGCTGGCTATTCCATGTTTGTTTTCTAAAGATGGATCTTTTTAAAGAACCATTACTCTTTTTCATCAGACGTACATCGAGAAAAGGGATTGATTGGTCTCGTTCCATTTCTAACGTGAAGTCTATGGAAGGGTGATTGATCACATTTAAATTGCAGACAGAATTTATGACTTCAAATAAGACTGAATCATTAGCTTAAAGGTCTCTTGATGAGAACGATATCATGTGGTTGATACATTATCTGTCCATACTGTTAAATATTCTCAAACAAGTGAATCACCTCAAATACAAAAGTGGATAATCACCTGTTAGGGACGTTAGATCTCTAGAACTCACTTGGAAAATTTGTATTTCTTTTTTTTCGCGCCAAAAGTGCTTTTTTCACCTTCATGTCGTATTTCCCACTTGGGAGAATTTTAAATGCTATTGGTCCGTTGTGTCTTTTAGTATTCTATTTTGTAACGCTTCCCAAGGATGGTTTTATGCTGTATATATACGCTTTGATTTGTGTTTATTGTTATCGCTCGTTCTTTTGGTTTTTTACGGAATATGCTTCCCTGTTCGGACTTCGATTTCTCTCTCTAGTTAGCGGGGCTGAGACGCAACAGAACAACTAGTTTATTGTTCTTTGGTCACAAGTCTGTGTTCGTTCGCAGACTAAGTGTACTCGCAATCGCTTTAACATAGCACAACCGAGTATCCAAAAGTGAGTCCTTGTGAAATAGATTTCGTGATATTGTAATGAGAAACCATGGTCTGTCGAATCGATCAAGTAGACAGTAAGCTTGTTTACCATCAAAGACGTGAAGAGATCACAACTTTAATGTACGATTTGACTAAGTTTACTGAAAGATGTATTTCGACTTCAAAAATAATTACCACATTACTTCAAGCTTTTATTATTTTAATTAATTCTAGTACATTGGTAGTCTAACTAGTGATTTATACATTTCGCTTATTCTGTTGATTTATGTAATTTATTTACTTTTTACTTTTTTGTGCACAGCTGACTCTGTAAAAATCTCTTTTTAGCATAAGTTTAATTATTTCGAATCCTTGAAGGCAGATTAACATAGGCATTCATCAATCATTTAATAATTTTCGTATTTTCTTATTCCTTTTCAAATTAGCTTTGATTTACTGGAAACTGCTGAATCTCGTTTTAACATAGATGGTTATTGGACTTCTAATTACACAATTATAAAAGCACACTCATTATATAATGGTCTCATTTATTGGATATCTGTTGCTGTTTAAACTTATTATTATGTTAAAAAGAGAGATATTTCAAAGTAGGTAAAGTTCATAAACGATTGTTGGTAGTTTATTCGTTAAATGTATGCTGATTTATTTTATGATACACTGAAGAGCGTTAAAATTATGTCAAACTAAATTTAAGATAGGCATACGTGTGAATCTCATTTTCATCTCTAAATATTACTGTCATTCTCACCATCAATCTTCATCTTCTGTTTTCAACTTCTACATTCGTCACCAGAACTAACGATGCAAGTTTTTGAGACGTGAAACCATTCTTCAGAATAATATTTTGGATTTTTTAATATCTGGATCATGTGTCAAACCGGACGACAGGGATTACTAACTAAGATACGAGAGTCTTTTCCCATGCTTGTGTAATGTTTCTTCGTAACACAAATACAAGATTCTATCACATTAACTCATTTGAATTCTCTTAGCCTGTATGGAGACCTAGAGCGTGTATCTGAAGACGTGACAGGAATTTCTCGTGGTCTTGGATTTGTAGGTATAGCTTTAAGTCTGAAAACAGTCCAGATACTTATTGACTGTATTCTTATCGATAGTTGTTTATGTGTTATCCTCGATGGGACTGCATGAACTTAGAGAAATAATAATATACGCTGCTGCCCCAACACCTTTTTGGCCTACATCTTCACTGACCGTGGATGGGATATATTTGGAGATGATTCCTACGGAAAACTTAACGGTTTGCTCTGGAAAGCTGCTGGTCAGATACAATAGTCGTTATCGATGGTTTTGACGTCCATGTTTGTGGACTAAGTTCATGTGAATAACAATTGAGTGAGCCCTATAGATTTTTAAAACAAATGACAGTTCACGGTGACAGTATACTGTATTTATGCTCAAATAATCGATTATTCTTGACAAGTAGGAATCGTTCATAATTGCTTAGGTTAACTCACTTTTTTCTATTTCATCTTGAATTCCAGTATATGTTCATATATATATTCACTGGCCGTTAAGAGAGTCACGTTTCAAATACATTAACAATAATTTCTTCTTCAATAAAAACTTTGACCACCATAAATGTCTACAATATTAATTCATTTCATCTTAGTTGTGCATAAATGAAGACAAATTATCAATTAATTTCAACAATAGTAATCATATTAAATTCAAAGATCCAGTTGTAACTTAACAGTTTGACGAAATTATCTGCAAGAAGCAATGAATGAATAATTTTTTCTTCATTCTCCCATATCTCTCCATGATTATAGTGAAAGCGACAAGTTGTGATTTCACAATCAATTTCTGTATCTACTTCAAATATAGTTTTTGTACATTGTCAATAGTAAACGTCAGTGTGAATCTAAATTTTCGTTTAATTTTCTTCTTTTACTAAGATGTGTCATGTGATATATGTAGATGAATGTAGTACATACAAAGGCATATAATTAATTTATCACAAAGTAGTGAGTGATGTCGAATTTGCAAAGCTTTTTAGTACTAACCGAATTCTACTGATTAAGTTGCAATGTGGATGTTAGTGCAAGTGACTCGACATTGGGTTCACCATATTCAAATATTAGGTGGTTGGAAGATGTTTCCAGGAAACCTCAGGTTTTGGTTTCACACTAGTTGAAACTTAACATCATGGGGTAACCGTAGTCTTGTGAGGACCTATGTTTGTTATGGGATTACGGGAACGCCTCTATGTTGTTGTGAGATCCCATCAGTCTCAACCTCAATAAAATTATTCTTTTTAAATTGTGGTAATAATTCACAATATAACCCGGCTGCATCTAAACGAGTGTAAAAATTGAGGTACGAAGAGAAACAAGTGATGACAGAGCATTTCAAGTATACAGTTATACAGCTTGTTTCTTGTCATATTTAATGATCTGACTGGTATGACCTAAAATACTATTTGTGTGTTAACTAGGTGATATCATTATACAATTCAGACCGAAAATATTGTAGCGGTAAATACATCTCCAAAATGAACAGCTCTATAAGTCTTCGGAATTGATGTTAACCTCATTAGTTTTACTGGATACACCTAACTGAAAGAGCTCGGTCATGCACCTGCACCAGATCACAAGTGAGTACTGTTATGTTCGCTACTTGATTAAAGCAGATTACGGTGAACAACTACGGCACTCAAACGTATGGAACCCCCACAGTCGCAAATCAGAAGACAGCTGGAGAAGTGTTTGCTGGGTAGGAATCAAAATGTACAGAAAATCATGGGTGTTCATAAATATCAGCGAATGTTATATCAACATTATCATTCAGCCGATTCGCACAGAGACATGTTATGCCGCTGTCCAATGGTATCATGCCACGATGGTATTCTAGAAAGCCTCACCACATTCTGGTTGGATGGAAACTCTTCGGCGCAGTTACGGCCTCTGAAGGCTCCGCTGTAATTCTTGGAAGCCGTGCCAACAAGCACGGCGTGCTACACATTCCTTGCAACGATTAACCAGCTTAGACCAAACACTTCTCGACATAAAGATAGACTTTCAAATATATCTTCGAGCCCCTTCATTTCTGACTTCTGGTTTGGCTGAGTTGATATTCTTCGATTATGAAGGTGCTACGTGTAAAATCACTGCGAAACTCCTAATACCTGTGAAGTCTTTAGTGATGAAACCGATGTGATCTGACACATCAAACAATAAACTGTGAATCTGTTCCTTTTTTTGAGCACTAGATATCACTTTTTAACTTTATTTTTACACATGGTGTTATTGATTTTTATATTTTCGGATACTTTTTCTCGCACAATGGAATATCTTATCTCCATCATAACGGAAAACACACCTAATCTACTTAAGATTAAACCACCTTCGCCCCGCGTATTTCAGTTCATGCCATTGTCGTCAGATGATATAGAAGTCTGGTTCTGCCATGCAGGAGCTAACTTCCATGGGCACTATGTGACAGATCCACTTGCACAATTACTCGCAATAGTGAAGGCACTACCGCGTGATTTCAGCAGGTACATCATATCCAGTACGTTTACTGGTTATGTTTCGGAACCTTATGACACATTAAGGGTTAGGCCAACTGTTCCACAACATCGAAATTCGACATGACTCAGTAACCGAAATGTTGTTACGTTTGATTGAGGTCATTTGTCAAAGGACGTTTGACGAAGGCCTTTTTAACAGCTCTTTCTGTCTACGTTCTCCCTACCCGTGCAGACAGTGTTTGCCTCATTTCAAAACAACGCTATAGACGAGCTGGCTTCATCTACCGACAGTATTCTAGAGGTCACTAGGACCTCTAAGACCAGGGTGTATTCAGTCTTAAAAAGCCTCAAACGAAAAGAAATCATGTCTCCGAACTCTGTCCTACTTTGACACGTTACCCTAATGTCCATCATGACCGTAGACGCTCCCAAACACCTCTAAGGAGTTATTCACGAAAATGGTTGGTCCATAGATCATGGTAGGTTGTTAAACCTGGTTGGTGCGGATATCATAATCAGTATGATAAACCTCGAAATTGCAGAAAACCCGTCAACTTTCCTATCCCAAATCAATAAACACGACAAACGTTTCGGGAAACTTCCCAGCCGGCGTGCGTTAACGGCAACCGAAGGCGGCAAACATAGCCGTCTGTCATACATCACTGATGTAACTGAGAAAGTTTGTTACCTGGTCGACGCTGACACAGACGTTAGCGTTCTTCCAGCGAATTCTGATGATTGATCGCAACACGTGGTAAGCAATATGTGTACCTTAACATTGGTTAATGCCAACCCATCCACTGGATCTTCGTTGTTGCAAGTGTTTTTATGCTAACTATTGGTATAAACCTGCTACAACACAATAATCTGCTCATCGACAAACTCAGAAGTAGGTTAGCAACTTCATTTTTTGGTTGTAGATTGTCTTCAGTCACTGTCAAGCACATAATCAACCCATACTATAAACGAATACTCGACAATAACCCAATATTTTCAATACGCGGTCAATGTTACAATACGTGACCAGCAATGTTGCACACCACATCATGATCAAGAGACCATCCGTATTTTCAAAACCACGCTGAGTAGCTCCCGAAAAGCTGAAGTAGGCCGAAAACGAATTCGACCACATGATGGACTTAAGAATTATTTAGCTTCAAAAATAAAACAATGATCTTTGCCATAAGTGATTTTCTACAACTCTGTAACTACGGCTTAAAAAAATGGTAAAGGGCAAGGACACTTTGCTGTCATACCTCCACAGGTACGGATCGCTTGATCGTGCTGAAGCATTATCGACGCAACGTCCTCAACACGTTGAACAGATTTTCCAATCCAGGTGTTTGAGCAGTCACTAAGCTCATCGCAGAACGACTTTGCTGGCCTGATATGAATAAAGACGTGAAAGAATGAGCATGCTCTTATGTAAACCGCCGGAAATCCAGGGTGATTGACGCAACAAATGTCCCTTGGGCTTTCCTAGAAACTCCCGAATTTCGTTTTGACCTTGTTCGTTTTGATTTGGAAAGACCCCCATCAGATCTAAGTGGATGCCCTTATCTCTTAACGTGTATAGACCATCTCACAGGATGACCAGAGGCAGTGTCTATTTAGAACATTATTGCTGAAATAGTGATGCGCACCTTTGTCGAGCGATGCATAGAAGGCCGGCTGACCCTCAACTATCACCTCAGTTCGAATCCGGACTTTATCGTTTCCTTACTTCACTACTAATAATCACACAATTACGAACGGCAACCAACCACCCATAAGCTAATGGATTGGTAGGGTAATTTCACTGACAGCTATAGATTTTTCACGGCGGACCAATGCTCTTACACTCGTTGGTACTCCCAATTCAGTGAAGTCGACGTTGGATATTAATAATAATAATTTAATAATAATTTATTCTCAAATAACAGTTTGTTACATGAGGCATGCCAGTTTACAGGCAAGATCAAATTGATACAAATGATACAATATACACTATATTAAATTACATAGCTGGGTTGAAAATTTATAAGACATGAATGACGATTGTTTTAATCAGTACTACTGT